TCGACAAAAAATTAATCTACAACCGTTTTGATAGTCAATCAGCTGTTTTCAAAAGCTAATGCTTCTCGGCTTTCTGTTTCTCAACTATTTGCTTGGTTTCCTTATTTCATATATTGGTACATTAAGTTTATTGCCACTGAGTTTAAAAGTTTGATATCAGGACTTTAAGAGCCTAGTAAAAATGACAACTCTGTAAAGAAAAAGATCTGGAATCTGTGGTATCACATTAAGCTGAACTATGCATTAAGAGAGAAGACAAAACTAAATTAATTAAAATATAACTAAAATTTCATGTAACCATGATCCTCAAAATGATCAGCATACAAAAACATAAAAGAACACAATAAACATAAATGCTAACTGAGCTAGCAAGAAGCCACATTTCAATTATTTCAGGTAAATTGTCTTTTAAAGATAATTGCACATAGTCTGGGAGAGTGAAGGCCAGCGTGCACTGTAACAATGATAAATTCAACAATTCATATTCAACTCTACTAAATATATATATTCTTTTACCATGGCCGATCCAGGAGCCTCAGCTACTGTCTTTAACTGTAAGAGGACACCACTTGTCCCTTCTCTGACCAAACTGTTCATATACTTCACCTGTTCCTTACAGTACAGCAATTTATGCAGTGAAACTTTGTCCTTTCAGCTAACATTGTTAAAAAAAAATCCTTAAGCAAACAAACAGAGTCATGAAGTCCCAATGACACATTTCATAGTCCAGTACACATCATTTCCTCAATGTACTGGAGGACAGTACATGAGACCTTACCTGCCAATTTCCTCATGTAATCCTGCAGAATTTTATTAACTCTGAAAGATGCAGAACATAGGTCAGTCATATTAAACCACGTGACCTCAGGTGGATCATTCAGCAACAGGGCATGTAAATTTGGAACTTCAGTTTAAAATGCACTACAACCTCAATTAAAGACCTATGAGATTTAACACTGCTTAGATAATGTAGAAAATGTACCACTTGCTATTTACTTTTGTCCACTTTCATTACAGACAAGACTGAAGTATTACTGCATAGATTTTTGCTATATAATCATTAAGCCTATACATTTTAGCCCATAGTCTGTATTTACCACAAAACATGTAAAAGTTTTTCCCTCTTTTTTTCCCTCCTTTTCATTACAGCTACCCATTTCTCTATCATGAGATAAAATTATATTTGAACCTTCCATTTCTTAAACTGTACTTTAAAATCAGTTTTAGAATATTGAAGAGGGCAGTGAATTTGACAAACAGGGAGTGAGGCCTCTTGACAAATCATTATTAACAAGTTCATTCACATTATAACTATATTTATAAAGGTGTTATCCACATCCAGACCAATACACCATGGCCTCGGCTTTTTTCTTTGTTTGTCCTTTGCCCCCACAGTCATTTGGCTTTGTACAGTCACAACAGCCAGAATTCACAATGTCACATTCCAGACATCAGCACTTGCAGCTCACCAGTCTTTTCCTTTTTTTCCCCTTGCTCTGGAATTGCAGGGAAATAGAGTTTGAAAAAGTCAGCATGACTCACACTGTCTTTATTGTTGTCCCAGTGATGAATACTTAAGAGGGGGACGCTGCCCCTCATTCATAGGTCCCCATGCCCTAGGGTTGCCCTGTTGACCCTGGGCCAGTCTGCCACAAGACCACTTGGGACATCTGTCTCTCACATGCCCCCACTTTCCACAGTCGAAGCACCTTACTCTGCGGCCTGCAGGAAACCTTCTTGTCCTCTGAGGCCCTCCAGCCCACCCCCCTGGCTGTGCGTATATCAGCTGGGGGATGACGACGGCAGGCACTGAAGATGGAGGGGGTCCGGCTGGCTCGACAGGAGTCACAAGCACAGGCACCTTTTTCTTCCCCCTTTTTTCAGCCGGGGAGCGAAGTACCCCTTCATGTTGGTGTGACATTGGATGAACAGAATGGGAGAGTTTGGGTGTAGCTCCCCCTCGGTCATAACTCACCTTAGCTTCTGATGTTGGTCTGGAGATGGACACCAGTGTAATATCAGATAGGGCAGAGCACCTCCCCTTTTGCCACCTCACTGCACTCATGGTCTGTCTTTATCACTTCTTCCTGTACAAACTTCACAATCTGATTATGAATTTCATTTAAACGTCTGGGATTTCTACCAGAAAACTTTAATGCTTTTAAATATATGTCAAACATATCAACTATTTCATCTTCCAGCTGCTCAAACCTGGCAGCCTCCACAGTTCATTAGCTGATTCTCTACCATATTGGGCTATTTTTCACTCATCATTTCAGCATGACTACTAAATAATTGCAAGACAGCAAGTTCTCGTTCACATTTGCAAACATGCTTTGCAGATTGATCTTTAACTTTATAATTAATTATCAGCATTTTCATTTCAACACACTGTTTTTCATCGGATGTTCCGCCTGAGGGCCAAAATACTAACGAGTGTCGCGTTCTCCTGTTCCATTTTTGAGATAATCTATAAATTTCATCTGCCAACAACGGATTTTTATTCCCAATCACTATGACTGGAGACGTGTTTATCATTTCAGACGCCATGAATCCTTCTTATGCGGTTATGTCTCTCACAATACACCTGTGTTTGACTGTGATCATCTAGAATGGAGGAATGCATAAATGTAAAACATGCAACTGACAACAAAGCTAATTATTTCAAAATACAATTTCAAACTCACAGTTTTAACTCAAATTAGATTATATTCACTTCCTTATCATTACCCATGTACCAGTACAAGGCACTGAAAATGCAGTTTAAAGCTACTACTTTAGACTTTACTTTACAAATGTAGAAAACTGTTTAAATTTACATCCTATCCTACTGCCTTAAAGCTTAACTCCCTCCTCTGTGTCGCTGTGCATGTTTTCATCACAGACACACAGAACTGCTCAGGAGGAGGGCAAGAGGCAGAGCACACAGCTCTGAACAATCGAGCTACTGAACAATTGAGAATTAGAACACAGAAAAATCAAACGTTATATACTCACTCTTTCACAGAAATATAAAAAGTTTTATACTCACCTCAGCAACACAGTATACAGTCTGAAAACACATGAAATTAACAAGAACAACAAGAAATTGCAATACACACAATTCTCAGTCTTCCCTCTGTCCCTAACTCCAGACACACATCTCAGCCAATCACACCACCAAATAATGACAGGCATATATTTAAACACACATTGAAGTCCGGACTTATTCATGTACACAAAACGCTTTGAGTGGGATTTTCATCTGTTTCTGGCCAGCCAACACCCGGAGCACACAGCCGGTCCCCACTGGCCAGGTCCCCACTGGCCAGGTCAGGACCATGTGGCTGAAGCTCCGTACACCTCAGTTACAATTTCTAACCTATACAGGTCAGAAACCCATATAGGCCATTTTAATTTTTCTCTAACCATGAAGTACACTAAATTACTTTGGAGCTCGACTTTAGCTGCGAGGACGCAAAGTCTGTCTGCTTCTACAGAAACTTCAATAATGTTACCAGTCAACTTACCACAATATTTTAGAGTATTCAACCTTGTTGACTAATCTTTGAGCGCCAACCTGCTGTAGAACCCACAACACAGCATAGACATTGCCTTACAGCCTTACCACAAATTTATAATCAACCTCAGACATATTTTCTGCTCATAATTTAGCTCTGCTCAACCTACGTCTGTTAACTTATAACTTTTAGAACCCAATAGGCTGTATCATAATCACTTAAACATCAGACATGTAAAAACAACATCAATTAACAACATCAGTGTATCCTGTAAACATTTAAAACAACTTATTTACATCAATGTTAGTAATAGTGTTAGCGATTGCAGCGTTCTTCTTCATATTCGTAATGCCAAGGAAATCTGTAGTGGTTAGGATCTGATACCAACTAAATTAATTCAGACAAATCATCCCAATTTAAATAATCATTTAATATTACAATTATTTGAACAGGGTAGTAGTTAGACAGGTAATCTGGTAGTTGGGGAACAGAGAACAGAATCACTCCTCCTGCAATGGAATAGATAAAGTATTAAATAAGATTGTCAGAGGAGAGTCAGTCAGTCTTGGTCTGGGGTCCAATCAGTCAGAGTCCAAAGTGCCCCCGGCCAGGTCCAAAAGCACACTCACGACTGCAGCACCATCACCCCTTCTTCTCCTAACCCACGGCTGTCCTAACCCTTTATCTTCTCACAGTTACCCAGCCTTCTATGGACTGCGCACACATTTCCTTTTTCTAAACATGAACAGAGCACACGAACCATTCACATAAGGCTGAAGCTATGTCCATTCCCCATTTAAGGAGGAATTCGCTCTGGATGTTTACCCATAAATTAAACAAGGAAGACACAGCCAAGATATTCTTGCTTGAGCAAGAGAAGAGAAACTGATCAAGCATCTTTTTAGCTCACCCTTACATAACTATTACAAATAATATCTATATATGAACTACATACTATTCTATTACATATTTCCTATGGACTGGTACCTTCTTTGTTTTTAACCACTACACCTTCAGCACCACCTCAGTTTTCATCAGTCCCCTTTACATTTTGTGAGTGAGCCCTCGCTGGGGCCTCCACACTCCCTGGAGAAATATTGTCTTTTGATGTTCAATGTGCATTTGTTTATTTGTGGTCCATTCTATTGTTGTAATTGAACAGATTTGTATTATTTCCATTGTTCTCTAGCATGGCTTTGCCCAACTTATAAAAACGAAGTTATTAGTTTACCATTTTTGGTCCCAGTTTTTTATCGTTTGCTTTCTCACTAGCAAATTTCTCACTTGCCTGTGTTTTTGATTCCTTTGCTTTTTCCACCTTCCCCAGATTTTATTCCTATTTAATGGAGACAGCTCTGCCTGAAGTTCAGGAGCAGAACCACACCTTAAACACTCCACTTCCATATGTCTACACCCACCCTCTTGCCTACCACACTCCTTTGTTCTTGTTTCCGTGCTCTGCCCGCCTTCTCTATCACCAAACATCTGT